TATCATTTTCTCTCCTTTATTTAAGTAGTTTCATTACATACATTTTCTTTCCTCAGTCACAACTGTCCAATAAAGCAAACTTATTAGACACAAAAGTGGAACATCCTTCCTCCTCTTCCTCTTCATCATCATCATCATTGTCATCATCATCACTATCTCCTTCCTTTTCTGAGTCTTCTGCTTCTTCCCCTTCTGATTCCTCTCCACTTTCCTTTGAGTCTTCTCCTTCTCTTTCATCCTCTTCAAATATTGGCTCTTCTACCGATGGCTCATGAACTGCTGCATGAACCCCTTGAATCTGACGTATCTCTTCTGCACGAGGGTCGTTCTCATAATCACCTGAAAGAGAAAGATTTATGAATACATAAAGTCAAACAACAACAAACGTACAGTTTCATCTACTATAACTGTTCTGATGATTATGAACAGGAAGTCATAAATTAGTATATGATTAATAACAATAACAATATCATAGGAATACTACCACTTTCAATTTTGTTTTATGGAGGTCTTACCTTTGTTCTGAGTGTAGCTTGGAGGTCTAATGAATAATACTAGTGATTTATGGCCATTCAGACACAGTCGAAGGATCTCATTCGCTGATCTGGACACATCTGGAGCCCCCTTGCGGCGTGTGTAATACCCACGTTTCATAGCCCAGGCTGTTGGATTGAAGAAAATAAAGGAATAGATGAAAATTGTTTTCAATATACCTTGATCATTTACATGATACAGTGAAATTACTAAAAAAAATTGACAACCTTATCACTACAAATGAACTTTGTACTGTTAGGATTTTTTTTCTTTTTTCTTTTTTTGTATGGAAACAAGAACTAATTGCCAAAAATATTTGCAGTGGTAATAAAGTAACTCTTCTGAAGTATAAATACATACAGAAAGAATACAACAAAGAAAGTAAGAATGGAAGAACAGGACAAGAAAGGAAAATTGAAAGAAAACTAAAGAAGCACTACTGCTGCTATTGCTATTACAATTACAATTACAATTATTATTATTATTACTACTACTACTACTACTCAATTTAGGAGGGGTGAAGAATAAGCAAATAGGGTGGTGAAGAAGAGAAAGGAGTGATGGGAAAGAAGGGGTGAAGAAACAAAAGAAAACTACACAACTAATGAAATACTACTGCATGCCTTTCGAGTCTGGATGATAACTTACCTTCACATATATAGAAAGCCGTCCAACTCGTATCAGAAGCAGTCTCATTCTGTACCTCTGAATGCTGAAGCTTCAAAATGCTTGGAATATCTAGCCGTGCTGCTACATAGTTAACTGCTCCAATTGGATCACGCACCTGGGCTATGGGGAAGCTCCCAAAAAGAACCTGCAATTAAGGTGACAGGCAGTATGAAAATAAACATGTTTGTTTTCAATGGTCGTTTCCTTAGCAATCAAATTCCAGATAATGAAGTACAAATTGGAGATAAGGATGTTAAATATAAATTTTTCTCTCATCTACTTTCCTTCTTCCAAGCATTTAGAAAGATCTCTTCGTTATTATCAGAAAAACAAAAGTAATGGTTTTAAAATGCCTGATTCTAAACTTATACATAGAAATAATTACTTCCAAATGCCAGCTCAAAATTAATGGTCCTCCAATATACATGTTAAATTTTACCTTTTTCACCTGTGACTGCACTTCTTTATGATCATAATTAATAACAATAGTGGATATGAAATAACAACAATAGTGATAATGCTAATGACAATGCCAATTATAGTGATAACTGTGGTAATGGTGGTGAGGTAGAAGGCAACAAAGACAAAAAGGACAATGACAATGACCACAGTGCTAACGGCAATAACAACAATTAAGATTAAATTAATAATAAAATAAATTAAGATTGAATTAACCCCTTGGATCCGGTTGCGCCCTGGAAATCAGGGTGTCTAAAACACAAGCAATGGGTTATGTAAGTAGCCAAAATCCCAGGCATATGGTGAGTAGGCCGGGCGCGCACAAACACCCATGAGTGGTAACAAGACTCTGTGCCTCCCCTTTGCAAAGTTATTTTGTGTAAACATTTTCCATTTTGTCACCATTTTCCAATGTCCATATTTCTTTTGATCTGCTTTATCCAGATAGTAATAGTTTATTTTCCTTGCACAGACTCCATATCATCTCTTTATGTAGTAAATAACAGTGCAAGGGGGAAAAAAAAATTAACATTTGGTTATTTGTGTCAAATATCTAATTTTTTCGCAATTTTCAATTTTAATCTATGCCGCCGGTCATAGTGGCCAAGAATATGGTGCGCAGCATGGAAATGGCATCCTCCCTGGAGCCGGCGCTCTTCTAGTCACTGCTTATACACATTACATTCCAAATTGATTTATTGATGGAAATAATGCTAAAGCCCCCTTCTAGCGCCAAATGAGTCTAATCGCACTCCAAGAGGTTTGTACACTCATGGCGAGTCTTTTTCGTCATCCTGGCCTTTGCTCATGGCAAGTTTGCATCACCCGGCCCGTGGCC